CTCAGGGCACTGATTTAGTTACTCCACACAGATTTGTCCTTCAGAACTTTATGAGGCAGGAACAACTCAGGAAAACTGAGGCACATAGAGGTAATTAACTCAGGAAAGGCATGAAAGCAGAGGAGGTCTTAATTTTAAGTGAAATTAAAATTAATAGTGAATTAATAGTGAAAGGACCTGAAAGGACTAGACCTGAATAGTGATTCTTGAGAGTGGATTGGAAAAAGACAAAATATAGCATACATGTTCATCTCCCCTTGTTCAAAATATAAAACTGTTTTATCCCAAATCACAACAATTATTTTCCCTGTCTATATTTTTCAGAAAGCACCAGCAAATATTTGAGATCTCACTTACATAAATAAGAATATCACTTTAATATAAAAATCCCCACGAAGATGAAACCAAATGCAATAATTAAACCTGAAGCTCTTTCTCAAAAGATAAGATACCAGACAAATGGTTTCTTAAAACCTAAAAATAAACTACTTTTCATGAATGACCATTAGCAGTCTTAACTGTTGCAAAATAATACTTCATACCTTCTCTTTTTATATGAAATATAAATATTCACCAGGAAAGGCAGACTATATTAATACCAGAGGGTTGCTGTTTAGAATGATCATGATGTTATTAACTGTAGGTGATTGTAAATGAAAAACAACATCTCAAATGAAATCAACTGTTCAAGGAAATAATTAAACATTATAACAACTCTGTAGTCTGGAAAACTACTGAGATCAGAAGGCCTTGTCAGACTTGATGGCATTAGCAATTCCCAGGTTGCCTTTCAAATAAAATCATTTGAAGCACATTGACTATATGACAAAACTTTAAATATCTTCTTTTGCTGTACTCTTAAATTCTCTCACTTTATAGGTACTCACAAACAGATGGATTCTCTTCACTTTTTTTCTAAACAAACTGAAGAGTACAAAAATGTTTATATAACAAGGAATTTTAAGAGAATGCACATGAAGTCATTCATTTTACTAGATTCTGAAGTGTCACAGTGTTTTAATGTCTGTTCAAAAGTCACTATGAAAGTCACAAACTCATTTGTACTCCATTTATAACCCTCACCTTTGAGTTGATTTGATTAAAATTGACCTCAATAACATGGAAAGTTTATTTGATTAAAATTGACCTCAATAACACGGAAGAGAAGGCTAATTCAAAGCATTTCTGTTTGAATTGCTATTCCTACAAGAGTAATAGTTGAATGGCTAGTAACATCTGTGGGTTACAGTCTACTTACCAAGCTAAGTGATTTCCATGCATTATCTGCCACCCAATTTGATCCTTGCAAAAGTCTATGAGGCAGAAATTGATATTGTTCCCATTTTGTTAATTTGGAAACAAAATCTTGGTGATGGTAAATAATTTCCCAGAGTTTTTACCCATTGAAATTTCTGCTCCAGGATTCAGAGTTGGGCTGACTCCAGACCCTATTGGTTCATGCAAAGGAAAATATGTTCAGTAATCATTTTCTCACTGCTATTTTAAGTGCTGATGCCTGCTGTTAGAAGGAAGCCCTTATTTAAGCAAGCAAGTGTTCTTACGGAGGCACTACCTGGTTGTTTTTGGACACTGTGAGCACTGGTTGGCGGGCACTCCTTACATTCACAACCTATTTTCTCCTTCACATTTCCCCAGATAACATTACCTTTGATTCACAACATTTTGCTCTGCAGGTGCTCAAAATTCCTTTAAATTTTAAAAGTACAATACCCACTTTATACCCAGGAGGATATGAACCATCTCTTCCTGATCTAAAAGGAAAATAAAGAAATTGTGTGCCTTTCGCTTTCATTTCTTCCTCTCTTACATTTTCTTTAGTAAGACTTTAGACTTTCTCACACATTCATTTGACCATATTCATAGCTGGCAAGACAGTCACCCAAGTGTGTGTGGCAAATGAGATTATGTCTGGTCCTGTCCATCCTTCCTTGGTAGGGCATGAGAGCATGTGGCCGCATAAGAAAGATGTAGATGTGCCAGCACTCGCAAAGCCCAAGGGTAGTATTCAGTTCCCCTCTTTCTTAGGGTGAGCGGGCTAAGCACCTTCTATTTCCTGAACATAGGTTCTGCCTTTTCACCTGCATAGCACACAAAACTGGATTCAGACTTCATCCAACCTAGTGGATGAGGGCCACATCATGAATTAGTAAAGGAGTCACAGTGAGGTCTGGCTCACAAACCCTCTGGCCGAGTTCTGTCTCCTGACCGGTGACCCATCCCTCACTTGTTTCGTAAATGAATGTTATTTTCACCTGATCAGTTGCAAGAGCTTCCCTTGACTTTTAAGAAGGTGCCATTCAGGACATCAAATGAGCCACTTGTCATCTTCGTTTTTGTTCCTAGTGTAATCCCATTGTCATTTAGATTTGACATTTTAGAGACTTGAACTTCAGTGTACTATACTATTCAGAGTTGCCTGGAGATATGTACTGAGCTGTGCTTTCCCCCAGGATTCAAAGAAGAACATTATTCTTCTTGCTTTATTGCTCCAGTCTTCCACTCTACGCTCCCACAAATCACTGTAATTTGCACTATCTGCACTAGGTATCCTGTAGCAACTTCTGAAATGGCCTATAATATTATAAATCATGGTGCTATTTTGGTATAAAATGTTGGTTAGGTAAATATCCATTGTTGTGCATTTTTTCTCCAGAGAACTATTAGTCACATTTTATTGTTCAGGAAGAAAGCCCGCTACTAGTCATATTTTTTCTGTTCGTATTTTTTGTGGCTGCTCTTTGAAAGTATTTGTGCTTAATAGACATAATGTCTTTGACAAAGAGTATGTGTATGTGCTTATACATTAGTAAACCATGGATTACATGCCAATAATAAAAGGTAGCTGATGCCCATCTGAATATTTTTATTAATTATTATTTTACTATGTGATTGCTGCAACAAACAGATCAAATTTATAGACAATGAGATGTGAAAGTGACATAGTTGAAAGAGAGCAGTGACATTATTGGGTCAAATGTAAGTGAAAGACAGTTAATCAGAAAGTCTGACTGAAACACTGCTTTGAATTGTATCAACGCTGGTGCTTTATATAATTTCTATGATGATCATATTGTCTTTCAAAATTGTGCATGATTCTAAAAAGAACAACTTTTAGCTGTTTTTCAGAGATTGAATTGTTGCTTCTTCTGCTAACTGTATCAGTTGGAATTTGATGAAAGAAGCAAAACCACTCGGAGTTACATAGAATAAGAGATTTATTACAGTGCTTTTAGCTTAGACAGTGACACACATAAATCTATCTCATCAATTCATTGCTTATTTCTTAATTTATCCAATTTCCATTTCTCCCTAAATAAACTCTCTAACCACATTCAAGATACATTCAAAAAGAATAAAATAACAATACAGTTCAAAATAACACCTGGATATCAACTCCAGCATGGCTCTTCCAAATTTTAGTAAAATAATCTTGAAAACATCTTCAAAGACAAAATGCATGTAAAAATTTAACACGGATAGAAACCCTAATGGCAAAACCTTAAAGAACTCTATGTTAATTTCAACACATGTGGAATAGGATTAATCGGCAGCTACCTGATAGAGACTGAACTATGTCCTCCAAAATAAAGGATGCATTGATTCCTAACCCCAGCTACCTCAAATGATCATTTACAAAAATGATCTTGTTCTGTAAATTAACTCTTTATGAAGACAATCAAGTTAAAATGAGGCTGTTACGATGGACACTAATAAAATGTGATTGGTGTCCTTACGAAAGGTAAGAATTTGAACATGTGCATTCACAGAAGGAAGACACTGTAAGACGTGGAAGACACTGTGAGATGTCTTCCGTCATCACAAGGAAGTGATGACAGTATGACAGGAGTGGCAGATATATCCACTCACCAAGGTGCACCAAGGATTGCCAGCAAATGCCAGAATCTCTAAGAGGTGCAGAAGAATTCTCCCCCAGAGCTGCCAGAGAGAGTATAGCCCTGCTAACAGCTGGATTTCTTACTTCTAGCCTGAAGACTGTGAAACAATAAATGTCTGTTTTAAGTCACATGGGTTTTGGTAGTTTGTTGCAACAGCCCTAAGAAACTAATATACTACTCTTGCTGCTTATCATAGTAAAATCACAGTACAGTCTTTCTCCAGCTCTTCTTAATGCATTCTACATTTTACGTCAGGTCAGTGTATGAACCAGTTGCCCTTAAGAACACACACCCACTACCCTGCAAATTCCTTCAGGTTTCCCGTCTAGGTGTCTGCTATAGAAACTGTGGTCATCAATCTCCACCACTCTCTCCTTCACCCCAAGTTGATTCTCACCCTTAATTTGGTCTCTTTCACAAGTAATTCCATTGTAGACTTTCCCCCGGCACTCTGTCCTTATTCCCTCCCTGAAAGACACTCCATAGCGTGTTTATTTGTCCATCAGTTTGGTGCGGTGCAGACCTGGAACACGACCACTTCCTGCTGCTCCTCTCCCAGTCCAAACCTAGGTCAGAAAAGAGTATCAGAAGAAAGAACGGTCCCAAGTCAGTTTTTTTTCTACATAGAGCTTATACTTTGACGTATCAAAATATATTTTTAATTGTTTACCATTTTAGATGAAGGTCTTTCTAAAATATTAAGAGAAATTGCTGAACATTTTTTGGCTTATAGATTCAGAATTATCATGAAGAACTGTATTTGTTTAACTGGCAACTAGAGCTTTGGGATTTACATTTGAACTTGAATGTACTCCTTCCTTCCATAGTTCTAATGAATTGTGTGCTAAAAACATTCTGTTTTCTTCTTCATCATTCTGTGGCTTCACAAGGGAATGGAGAGAGAGCTTTGACATGGGTTAATACCCTCCTATGGCTGGATTCAGTGCCCAGGATGAAAAACATATCCTTTGTAATACAGATGCATTTTTTAAAACTTATACTATTTTCCTTAGATTGTCAACTGCTCAAAAAAGGTAAATTGCTTTTAAAAGTTCTACACACAGATAAGTGATATTAGGTCTTACAGTTTTTGAGGTGATGATGGTGATGACGATGATGGCCACAAATATTCTGAGAGAGCTGTGTAGCAAGCAGAAAATAAATGAGCTAGTACTAACATCAGTGATTGCTAAGAATATATTAGGAGTATGTGAAAAATTTAAAAACCTTTAAACAGATTCTCAGTGTTACGCTTACTTCACATTAACTTGTACTTATTGGAGTGAAACCAAGTCTAAAACATGTTTTGAGCTTCAAATTTAGAATGCCATATATATTTTTAAATTTCAAAAGCAGGTGCTCTGGGGAAAATAGCATAAAAAATCTTCAAAGAAAGTAAAATACTCCAATAGCTGTCTTGACAAAATATGTTAAAAGACAGCCAAGCTGAACAGTTGACTGATGATGACCCCAGCAGAGATGTCTGTTCTTAGCTGTATTTTCAAAAGCATCAAAGTCATTCTGTAGTCTCCTGGCAAATTGTCCAATCTGTCTGGAGTTGCTGTTACTTCCAGCCATATCTGTCTATTCATGAAAACTTTTAAAAAATGCTACCAATAAACTTCTATCTTTGAATTTGAGTTCTCATCAAAAGAGATGTCATTCTATTTTTTTTTCTTTTTTCCAAAAGCATTCTCCCTTTTACTAAATTATCTGAATTGCACTCACTTACTACAATAACAACAAAATTCAGAATGAGCTGAAAATACCAGAACAGATATTAGAAGTAACTAAGAATTTAACCAATGTATAATTTTAAATTAGGGGAGATTACCTTAGAAGTCTTAAAGGTTATAGAATTTCTACTTATGGACCCGTGGTTTAAGTGGCATTGCAGTGCTTTTTAGCACTAGCACATCCTCAAAATCAAAATGTAACTATGAAGTGCACAACTTCAAACCGAAACTATCAGAAGAGGTGGGAAATATTAAACTTGACAAATGACTCTTCTTTTATTCAGTACAATCTAAGGGACATTAGTATGAGAGTCCTAACATGAAGAGAAGTCACTGGAAGTGCTTCTCATAGAGTATTTGTAAAATAGGTCTACTACAAGGTAATAGAGCTCAGACAATATAGCCTACACAACAAAGATTCAAAGCAAGTCAAAGATAATAATTATTCAGTACAAGGCACTAGAAGCAAGAATGGGCCTCAAGATTTGCAAAGGAATTTATCAATATGAAGTCAGTCCTAACCTCTGTGTATTTATATTCTAAGCCAACTGAGTCAGGTTCATATATTGATATGATTCCTCAGCCTTTGTGAAATGGAATATTGAAAACTATTTGATTGTATAATGCCATCTATGACTGCTTTTGTAAATTAAAAGATCCAGCAGAGATAGCTCTAATTACATCTGGGTATCAGTTATAGCTATCACTTTAACTATGTGGATCCTCTTTTTGTACCTTTAACAGTGTTTGCAAAGTATGAGTTCTGATTCTGGAACACAAATTGCCTCCAATGCTATGTAGCATTTTTCACACATTTCACAATTATCCAGGAGTAAATTTTCGAAAGTGAGAAGGTCCTATTCAGGGATGGGGATGGTTAGGTATGTCCTCAAAGAATCTGATAAGAGAAGTGTTTCTCATGCAAATTATTATATGGTTATTTTCATAGGTGACTATAAACAGCAAAATATAACTAAACATCTAAGTTTTCATAATAGAATTGAATAAAATAATGTAACATTGCTCTTTCCCATGCATAATATTATTTCATGCTAATAGTTGTGCAATTTCTAATAATATTATGCTTTTGAATAGAAAGTTGTGAAAATCAAATTGTAATTAAATAGTCAAAAAAATCACTACCTCCTCCTAAGTCCATGAGTGTGTGCTAGCTCCACAGTTACAATTGCTCTGAGAGTTGTCTGACAACTTAGGTCAAGAACTGAGTTGATTAAATAAATACCAGTAGGAAAAAATGATACTGAATGTGCAAGCCTTTCAGTATGTAAGATTGAGAACCAAGCTAGTTTCCTGAAATAAGTAGGGTAAAGAATAGTTGTAAAAGCCAGATAAGACATAAATCAGAAAAGAATAAACAATTTAATTGTTAATTAAAATCAATTAATTAACAGACAACGGTCACAAGACTAATACCACGTAGAATAAACAATAGACAAAGCAGAGAAAAGAGATAGTAATAAAGCCAAGAAAACCAGACCTAGCAAAGCAAGTCAGGTACAGAAAGAGCCCCAGGAAAATGCAGAATGTTAGTTTGCTCTCTGAGAGAATACCTGCTATGAAATAATGAGGACAGAGTTTAACTTGCATCTTCAGAGGCCTACAACTAATGTAACTAATCCTCCCCTTCTTTAGGAACCCTTCTGGAGCAAAAGTATCACTTCCAATTCCTCTAAGGCAGTTAGGGGTCATCATCTCACCTAAACTCTTGGAGGGCATATTGTATTCCTTGTTATATCACCAGTCTGTAAAATGATACTGTCTTAGTTACTTTCTCATTGCTGGAACAAAATACCTCACATCCACAAATTAAAGCAGAAATATTTTAATTTAGTTCACAGTTTACAGAGGTTTCAGTCCACAGTCAGCTGGTTCCAATGCAGGGCAGCAGGGAAAAGGGGCATCACAAAGAAGAAATAGTCCGTGACCTTCCATCTTTTCTTTTATGTTCCATCCAGGTTACAAGCCTATTCTATGGTGCCACCCACACCTGAAATGGGGCTTCCCGTTACCCACACCAAGAACATTAAGCCGATCGGTGGACTAATCCAATTATTACCCCTTTAGTAGTCCATGTTGACACACCCTAAATCCAGACATCTCTGAAAAGCCCTACCTGTGAGCTCATGAGGATTTTGGGGGACACCTAGATGCAGACAAAACAAAAACCTAGCACACATAGGAAACATTTTTAAGAAATTCACCTATATGGATGAGAAGTATCTATGTCCACAAATGTTCGAAATTATCCACTGGTCTTTATACTGCTTCAGAGTTCTTAAAGCACTTCCACCACCATTATTCCATTCAAATTTCAGAGCCATTCTGAAGTAAATAAGTAAATGTTAATTATAATTATCATTCAGTGGGTGCAAGTTCTCAAACATAAGGCATGCCTTCAGTCCAACATCAAAATTAATGCAGAGGACACACATGCAAATTCTTGCTTAGGTAAACAGAGGAGAGTGTCTAAGGGATATACAATTTTCCGAAACAGAATCACAGAGAAAATATATTTTAAAGATACAAATTTAATCTAATATAAAAATAAAATGTGAACATAATATTTGTTATAAATTTAATATGTTTGTAATTTATACTTACCCAAATTCATAAGTTGAAGCCAATCTGGCTGCATTTGGGAAGAAGAAATAACTAAAGTTAGATAAGATCACAAGTGTGCAGCCCTTATCTGACAGAATTAGTATCTTTATAAGAAGAGACTCCATAAAGCTTGCTCTCTCCCTTATCTTCACCCTCGACCAGCTAAGAACACATTGAGAAATCAGAAAGAGGAACGTCATAGAAATAGCTGTGCTGCAGCTTGATCTTGAACGCCTAGTCCTGAGAAGTGTGAGGAATAAATGTTTGCTATTTATGCCATTATCTTAGTCATTTTTCTAGTTGCTGGGATAAATTCTCAATGCCTACAAGTTAAAGGAGGAGAGGTTTATTTGGTTTACAGTTTGTAGTTTCAGTCCACTGGCTGTAAGGCACAAAGGCATGAGAGAGGAGCATGGCAGAGGAGAAAGAGCTCATGGCGTGGCAGCAAGAGAGACAGACAGAAAGAGAGAGGAGAGAGGATATACACCTTTCAAGGTCCACCCTCTCCAACCAGGCTTCACCTCCCCAAGGCTCTGCCTATGATTACATTAGGGGGACATCTAGCTATAAACCTTAACAGCCACCCAGTTCCTGATATTTTATTCTGGCAGCCTTAGTAGAGTAACACAGCAAAATAAGTGTTATTATTTTCCCAGAAAAATAAGTCAGAGAGAAAAAAAAGAAGACAACATTTATTTCCTAAGCAAAAGTACAGAAATCTTATTTGTCAAAAACTGTTCAATTCCCTGCTATTATATGCTTTTTACAATACAACAAAAGCAGAAGTGCATCAGAAATGACTTTTTTAAAGAAATGAATTGTGAGTAAAATTTTGCAGAGTATTTTGACCACAATTGTCTTAAAAATCCTTAGATACTTTCTTTCCAATTTTGAGTTCAAAAAGAAGATACTAGCAAAAATGCTATATAAAGATTATTTTCTAAAACAGGACAAATTTAGGCAGATTGTCTAATTTTCATAACCAACTGAACATTCTATTTCAGAGTTACTTATAGCTAACTAACTCTGTAAAGTATTTGATTAAAATATATTCCACAGGGCCAGGTGTGGGAGGGAGGTGTGTCTCTACTCAAACAAGGAGGTTCTAAATAAGCACTTCATTCCCCAAATGTTTGGTTCAGTCAAGATCACATCACACCTTCGTGTCCTGTCCTCTGTCTTTGCCATTGGACGGGATATCAGCACATGCCTGAACACAGAATCAGATTCTCTCTACCCAACAGTTAGGTCCATGGGCAACTCAAGCTGCCATTCACTAGGCATATTCACCAGGCAGCTGCCTTGGGTAACAGCTGCACATTGAGAAGCTCCCACATGAGGTAAATATGAAAGGTCAGAAACACACCTTCCGATGGTTTGGCTTAAGAAGGTCCTACAGGGGCTGGGGATTTAGCTCAGTGGCAAAGCGCCTGCCTGGCAAGCGCAAGGTCATGAGTTCGGTTCCCGGTACCAGAGAAAAACCAAAAAAAAAAAAAAAAGAAGGTCCTACAGTGATTACTCAGAGAACTTTCTTCCAGGATTCTCGTCTATAATAAAAAAAAAAAAAACTAACAAACTTTTTCTAGGTCTTAGAACACTAGTACTTTTCTGTATTTTAGATAAAGGAACAACATAATCCAAGAGCATTAAATAAAACTTATGACCAAATAAAACTTCTGACTCTGGCCAAATAATAGTCTCTTCCCATATAGTAAATCACATATACTAAATCACAGGGTGGCCATCTATTGATATATTTTCCCCTCTCAAACTCTATCTTTTTGTGTAAGTCAGTCTATTCTGTCCTCATCATTGGACATGTGTAGTTCAATGATTATGTTCCACGCATGGCTTGTAACAGGCTCCTAAAGGAGTAGAAGAAATCAGTCATCCCAACAGGAAACTTCAATCTCAAGCCTGAGGGTCAATGCCAGTGTTCCCCATCAGAAAGAGAAGAGCTTCTCTGTATTCCTAGAGTGCAAGTACAAATCATATGAGTTGTTTGGGCATGAGCTGCCCCTTAGCCATGCTTAATCTAATTTCCTCTTTCCCAAGAAAAAACACACCCATACTCAATACAATTACTGCAACTCTTAGTGTCAAAAGCTCTTCATACAATTTGCTAAGTATTTTATGTACGTACTTAAATTGGAGTGAAATTAGTAAGTGATTTTGGTCTACAAAAACTCATTCACAAAAGACAAAAAGGATCAAGGTTTTTAAAGTGAGTATAAGCTATGTACATACTTATAAAGAGTAACGTTAGGGTCCTTGTATGAGATTAATCTAAATGGACTGAAGAAGAGGAAGACAGTGAATATGAGAGACTTGTTCTGCTTGCTTAGAAATACATTACATTCGATCATTAACATCATGGTGACAATTTGGCAACATCTGTCAGTACTTCCTAGCTCCCTCCCTTACACTCCAAAGTCAGATATACTAATAATGGCTAAGCACAGGACAGCAAATGCCCTTTACTTTTAACTATACCTCTGTGGCTCCAGTTTGCTTGGATGGATGTAGAAACCAGTAAAATTCATAATTTAGCTAAGCTAAAGCCTGGATGCCTGGGAAGTGTGTCTTCTCAAACAAAAATAGAAAAAAATGAATATTTTGTGTTCAAGTTCAGAACAATTTATAGCAGACAATTCCATTTTCAGATTAAATAAAGTTGTAAATTTTGGCAGAAAATCTGAAGAAATACTGGGATTTATTTATAGATGTTTCTATTGTTCTTATATAACAGGGCCCAGAGAATTCCTCAATAATCCATCTAAGAATCCTTAAACCCAGTTAATTCAAAATTTCAGTGTAAGTTACACACTGTCACTTGTCAACTCACTCATCCATTTAAAAATCCTTATCACTATAAGTATTTGCAAATAAATTTTGAGTTGATGATATGCATATTATGTATGATACATTTATTTTGATTAATCAACATTATGTTCTCACCCTTTGTTCTTTACACTTATAAGGCTTTCCTTCTTATTAATATATTGAAACCAAATACTGCCTTCTCTGCTTTGACCCACTTATTTTTCTTCTCAAGTAGCTAGCTCCTTCCCAATTAGTCCTCTGTTGCATTAGGCAAAACTCCAACACAGAACTCATTCCATTTTATTCTCCGTAATTCTATCTCCACTTGTAGACTGTTTTCTCCTTTGGGCAAATGTCTTATCATCATCATTTATTGTTTACTGAAACCTGTATCTATAAGGAAAAGTATAATGCTTGGTGCATATTAAGTACATAATAAATCCCTATTAAATGACTGATTGTTAGCAATAAAATAATTATCCAGCTATTTTGAGTTTTGTGCATTTTTAACTCACTGAAATAAATAGTGAAAAGGAGGTGCTTCTGAACAAATAGTAGAAAGGAAATTACTGTTTGGACAAGATATCATCCCTATATCTTGTACTCTGAATAACTACTATGAAGACAATAATGCACCATGTATTAATTATTTAACTCTCCTACTAACTTGATTTGAAATTCTGTTTTGCTGTTATTTTTATTTTTTTCTTTTTAAAATAGAAAAGAAAGTTATTGCAAAACTTGTGAAGAACAACATCACTTCATTTTTTTTATTTTAAAAATAAAAGGAGGAAAAAATTAACAGACAGACAACCTTTTACAAAATAGCAAAAGAACAGCACAGACAAAACAAAGTTACAAACAAAGTGGTAGGAAATTAACAATGCTTGTTGTATTACATATTGATATCTTCAAAGTGGATTCTCATGAAAACAGATAGAGACATGCAATATTGATCAATCAAGAACTCAATGACAGTTTCTTTCAGCAAAGAAATAGAAGACAGTACAACTATGTTAACTATCCTGTATATACATACATACAACATTTCTCCTTCTTTTCCTTCTCTTTTCCCACATCCCAGTTGCCCTTTATCCTTGAGGAACAACATCATTTCAGAGTAGTAGTTTATTCCTCTATGATTTTTCTGTAAAAATTGCTCTGGAGGAAAATTTGGTATTTTGGGAGACATTGGATAATCAATATTTTCTCATTCTCTGCAAAATTTGATTTATTCATTCATATTTATTCATGAATGAACAACAAATACTCTATCAGTAGTGTTCATGGTTATAATCAACAAAATAAACCTTAAGTTAAAGAAAAGTAATTTGGGAAGTTTATGAAAAAGGTCAGAGCATGATGAGAGGTTGAAAGAATACACTGAGGAGAAGACAGAAGTCAGGAGCAGAGGAAGAATAGATGGAAGAAACCAAAGGATCCATCTGGAGCATAAAAAGTGACAGACTCCTCCATTTCTATTTCCAAACAGTCTTCTCATTCCTACATTTCTTGATCAGGCTTTAAAGTTCTCCACTGTCATCTGACCTGGCTTAGGTTCATGGGTCTATTGCCTGGTGAGGAGAAGCAGCAGGTTCTCAGTGCTTTAGCTGTGAGAGACCATCACCAATATTACCTGCCATCAAAATGTCAATAAAAAGAGAAAGGTAATTTCAACAAGCAAAGGCATGATAGCATTATGAATGGAAACTGATTTCAGCTGGCAGAAAAAATATGAATGTCCCTTATACATATGTGTGTTATATGCCCAAACTGTTTTCAACATCCATACAGGTGTCAAAGATGGATGCCATTGTCGAAGACAGATGCCATAAATACTGCCATTGTGAAAACTTACAAAATCAGAGGAATTAGCTGCTTGAGAATCACCCTGCATTACTATGCCCTGAACAAAATTAGGAACTTCCGTGTAGGATTGTGTGCAATCCCTATACACAATCTTTTTTTATTATAAAAGTGTTATTTTCATCTAAAATTAAGGCTAAGCAGATAATATAGCATTGAATTATCAAATTATGAGGGTCAACAGGCAGCTTATACTGTTTTTATTCCTCCTCCACTCTGTCCATATTTCTAATAGTTATGATACACAAAATGAGTGTGGAGTGAGTGCTCGTCAGCACTGACCTCAATTTACCCAAGCATGCAAGTTTATTTTTACTACCTTAACAATCCAATTTCAGTA